CACACACACACACACACACACATACATCAAAACAAGGCCTGAAGTTTGAAACTTAGGGGGGAAAAATAAACCTAGAATATAACAAGTAGATTTGAACTTAGTTTCAGATCTTTTTAATTTTTCAGTTTCAAAACTATTTTATTTTTCAACTTTATGGCTCTTATTTAGTTCCATATATCATGCATTTACGCCTCCTGAAAATCAGATTTTGATTTCTWAAGAAAAGCAGGATCAATGATATTTAGCTAACTGTAAGAACTTTGTTTCCTTTTTTTTATTTAGATGGACCAATTATGTAAAAATAAATTGGCAACGATCCAGWTGTAGAGTCTGGAGATTCAAGTCTTGTTACGGTGCGTTTAGGCACCTAAACTGCAGGTTTTTTTGTATTTTGCTGTGTCAGATCTTTTTAATGTGACTTCTGAACAGGTCAACTGATGTGTTTCAAATCTGTACAAAAGTCCTTTTCAAGATAAGAGCTTTTATCTTTCTCMTTGTTCAAAAAGTCAGATTATTGCTTTAAATGCAAATAAGGAGAACTGGTATGTGAGCGTGTTGCACAAAGAGCAGACTGTAGTCAGACCTCTGAGGGACCACAATGTAAGAGGAAGTGATTCGATCTGGACCTTTTTCCTGTGGGACCTGAGGAACGCAGTGATGCTTGGAGAGGATGGAGGACAGAACGGCTCATTTAAAGACACAAACACGTTTTTATTTTGTGCAGATGTTTACTTTTATATACACATTTTGTTCACCTCATTAATTTGTCACATGTGAATTCCAGTTTTAACTTTAAATTTAGGTTTTTTTGTTGTACACAGCTGACACGTCGCTGTATACAGGTTGGAAAAAGACCAAACTTATTAGGTCTTTAGGGCCAGTGACGCTGGTTTGAAATGAAAATCTCTCTAAGTGCTGCTTGGGTAACCTGAAGCATCAAGGTCATGGTGAAAGTGGGAGTCACAGACACTCGATTGTTATCTGCGGCGTGGGAAACAGAAACATCTCACTCTCACGCTGGTTTCAGTAAGAAAGATGGAGGGAGCAGCGAAGGGCGTGGAACTTCCTGGAATTGAAAATATGGAGGTGTTCTTCCCATATGGGTATACACACATTTTCCATGTTTTGTTAAAGGTTTATGTTGTTACAAAAGACAGAAAAACAACAAAATAGTTCTACCTTAAAGTCAGACCAAAACAAAACGAAAGGTCTCATAAGTCTGTTTTCCTTTTAGTTTATTTTAGGGAAACAAAATGTTTTTAGAGCTGTTTCCTTGAAGATTTCATTATTCCAAAAAATGTTTTATTATTTTTTTCAACGAACAAAGTCTTTTAGTAAAATTACTGCATCCTGGAGGAATTTTTTATATTATAAAAGGTGAAACTGATTTTAAAACAGTTTGTAAACAAAGATGTAAACTGTCTAGCACTGTCCTTCACAAAATGTGGAACATTTACAATCAATTTGTCAAAAAGAATAAAAATAAACATGTAACTTGTTACACAAATTGTTTATAATGTTTTTTCCTAATATACACACAGTTGCTTATGTAACTCTGAAACGGCTAACTGGATATGCTAATGTGAAGCTTTAACAGTTAGCTTGCTATGCTAATGTGTATAGCTACAAGCTAGACAGCTTGATATATTAATGTGAAACAGATGGGTTGAACGGCAAATATGTGAAGCCCCTTAAGCTAATTAGCATGCTATGCTAATGAGTGTAGCTGCYATAGGTAAGTTAGCTGGATACACATAGACATAATATTACTAATTGTTGATGTGAAATTCTAATGGCTTCTTTGATAAACTAATGTGTAAAGTTTTAATAGCTAGATAGATACACTGATGTGTGAAGTTATAACAGCTAGTTAACATGCTATGCTAATGAGTGAAGCTGTAACAGCTAGTTAGCAGGATATAGTGATATTAATGAAGAATAGACATTTACTATATTAACAGTATTTGATGTGAAGGTGTAACAACTAGTTAGCAAGATATGCTAACAGGTGAAGCTGTGAGCGTACACCCAAGTAAATTAAGACATGTATATTTTATTTTAATTAATCGGATGAGTCATTTTAGAGTGAGTTCAAGATGGCCGCCACAACAAATTGAACTTTTAATTTTACTACCTGATTACATTTTTATTTATTTAATTTTTATTTTTTGCARGAACACATTTCTAAAATCCACATTTTATTACTGTTGCAAGCTAATAAATAATTATTTGAAACAATATGGGGATGAAAAGCCAAACCTTTATTCAGCCTTTCTTTGAGTCCAGATCTTTTCCTTCTCTGTGGCCGTTTTTGGCCGGACCAGAACCMAGGCCAGACCCGTCTACCTGAGGTCCCACTTTTCTTTCAGCTCCAGTTTCGTTCACCGTGGGAAGTTGTAATTATGGCGTTGTGTTGCAAAAAGGATCAACATGGAGCTGTTCAGTCTGTCTCAGAAGATCTGACTCAGACCCAGGGGCGCATTTAAAAACTTTGAAGTGGGGTGGCCCACTGAAAATTGCTGTTGCACCCCCACCCACCCCTTTGGTGGTGCCCCTGCTCAGACCAATAAATCCAGTGGCTGAAGGCAGGAAATTATTTGTTGTAAAATCCATGATGTGGAAGGGAGATCAAGTACAAAAAATGGAGAAAACTTGGATTTTTTTTTTCATTTTCAATCCACCAAACGTAAAATTTAACAGAAAAAAACAACATATTTAATTATTTTAGATGAGCAGCATCATGATTACAAACACTAAATGCATCAAATGTTCCTGTAAACGTTTTCTGTCAATAAAAAAGCCCAAAGCTATCTTTGTTTAGGAGATAAAACAGTAACCAAGGCCTCATGTCCGCTTGAAACTGTACAGCCATGTGTGTATAGCAGATAACAGCGCCCCCTACTGACTGGAAACAGAAAATAAAGGGTTTTGTTTTACATTTTGGGAATAATTTACTGCAATAAATGTCATTAACCAGAGAACAGGGAAGTCCACAGAGGTTGCTGCTCATTACTTTGACAAAGAAAACTCCAGTCCAATAAAAGTCCATTCAGTGTAAAGTAAACTGAGTCAGGATAAAATACAGCCAGGAAAAAATAAAAAAAGTCTTGATTTACAGTGGCTCCACCACCTTAACGATGTGAAAAACACACAAATGAGACGAACTCAGCCGTCAAAGACAAAGACTTAAAAAAAAACACCACAAACCTTCAGCTGAATTAGTTTCTCTGAGCTTAATTTGAGTTTCTGGATCAAAATAATCATTCATGGAAATAAACAAAATACTTGTTTTAAACATGACATTGATTTGAAAATGCATTTTTCGGAATAAATAAAGAAAATGTAACAAACAAAACCAGGAAGTGTGAGTACCTGATTTGTTTTATGTTTTCTTTTTTCCAAGTGTTTTAAATCTGGAAAAAGTAATTTCCCCCCCATATTTCGGACCTATAGG